TGTTATTTCAATTTGTGAAACAACACTTTTATTTTGTTTCTTTTCACATGGTACAACAACACTACATTATTTCACCATGTGAAACAAGAGTATATTGTTTCCCCATGTGAAACAAAACTACATTGTTTCACAATATGAAACAACATTTTAGCATTTCACATTCCATTTCTTATCAACTTTTGTTGTGTTTTCAAATTGTATAACAACAGTACATTGTTTCACCTTGTGAAACAATAATTTATTATTTAACATTAGCGATGTTACATTGTTTTACAATATGAAAGAACATTTTAGTGTTTCATTTTCACTTCCACATCACATTTAATATCAACTTTATTTTGTATCAGAGCAGGTTACAGTAACCAGAAAAGATCAGAATTGAAGCAGATTTGAGTGAATTCTTGAAGAATTTTGAAGTTTCTTGAAATGTTTCCCTGTCGAACACATTTGTCAATTTTTTTGAATTCGAAATCGATTTTGTTTGAGTTTTGATTCAAATTTTGATTGGGATTTGATCTAAAACCATTTGTGACTAAGTTGTATTGTTCAATTCATCAATTTGGATTGAATTCAGTGTTCAATTTTAGGTTTTTACTGATCGACTGTTCTTTGAAGTTCTTGAAACTGTTTTGATCAATTTTGATCAAATGTGTTAGCAGATCAGATTGTATATTAGGCTTAGTTTATTAGCCCGTATAGCGTTTGGCCCATGCCCCATCTGTTGTATATTTAAATGATTGTATTTTGTCTAATCAATCAAGGAAATCATTCTCTCTAATATGGTATCAGAGCAAAATTAGGATCCCTTCCTAATTCCTCTCAACCTCCTCCCTTCTTTCTCTCTTTCAGCGATCTAGGGCCGGCCACGCCTCCCATCGCCGCCTCCTCCTCCTCAATCGTTCTTGCCTTCCTTCAAACATGTCCGTCAATCAAACTCCCCCAAACAAGGTTTTCGGTATAACGAATATCAAAACCTACGTTCCTCTCATTCTTGAACTCGAACGTCTCAATTATGATGCGTGGAGAGAACTTTTCTCCACCCATTGTATTGCCTTTGACGTCATTGATCACATCGACGACTCTACTCCTAAACCCACGGATGCATAATGGAAAAAGGTGGATTCAATCGTAAAACTTTGGATTTACGGATCGATCTCACAATCCCTTCTTTAAATGGTGTTGAAGAAAGACTCGACCGCACTTCA